AGCTTTTACCGCTCATCAGTTTAGCGTTATCAGTGATTGATGGCCCTAAAATTATTGCTCTCACTCAGACGTTTGTGGTTATATGTAACATGTGCAGCACAATAGGCGCACCCGACGCATATCTGCATGTGTATGTGATGGCGGGGGACTTAGAATTTTTTCTTTTTAATTGCTTCTTTAATTTTAGTATTACTTTTTTTTTTTTATAACACAACTGTATTGCTATCACATGGGGGGGCTAAGAAACCCCCTATGTGATAGCCAATTTAAATGACAGGTCCTCTTTATGGAGACATCGGGGTCTCCAAGACCCCTGTCCCCTAGGGTCCCCCAGAGAAGCTGATGAAGCACAGATCTGCTTCATCAGCTTCTGTAGCTGGAGAGTGACACTGAATGCAGGAAGTGATGTAATAAACATCACTTCCTGCATTCGTGGACTGAGAGAAGATCAAAGGGAGATCGTGTACTGATCTCCCCTTTGATCTCCTGTCACAGAGCCGTGCCGGCCGCATCGGGCACAGCGGATGTTTTGGCTTTACTTCTCTTTAATACATCTAAGTATTTTCATCATTTTGTGCTCAGTCAACCCTCTCCAGCTCATATTCCATTTAGTGTGTGGGCCCAATGCAGTTGTGTTTTGATTCAGTATGTGCTTTGCGATACAGAGGAGGAATGAGCACTGAAAAATGGAAAGGTTGCCCACCCGCACCTGAGGTCTGCTGTGCAATTTTTACTTTTTATCGAGAAGGAGTGGGGAGTGAAGGAATTTGAGTAGTGGTTTCAGTTATCCTTTTTATCTTTATAGAGGTATGACTTCATTACTGCACAGTAGAAGTTACAAAACCTAAAATAAATTTACAAGTACCCGGGACAACATTCTTGTGAGTCTAGTCTACAGCCTGCCAGGTTCTCTGTGTTGTTTTACAGCGCGCAGGTAAAAGACGGGCCAAGTGTTCTGCAATTTAATAACTCCCATGTTTATGTAGGGGAAGTGTGGGCTCCAAACTGCATGGAAACTTCGATACAAGTACGCCTCTTGAATTACTGAAGAAAACAATCCTGTTGATTTCAGTGGGATTTATTATGAATCTGCTGCTGAATTATTTATGTCTGTGTTCCGCAGCCAGGAGGACAAAACATCCTCTAATTTGGTACTGTGCCTCTGCAATATACTCCAATATAAATGTATAAAGTGATTTTAAAAATGATGCAGAGGTTTATAGTAAAGTCTGTTGGTGTCATTTCATGGCAGGTGGGTTAATCATGCATTCACTGAGAATGAAGCAGAGAAAATCACTGTGATACAGCTATTTTGTGCTCCTGACAGCACTCTATTTGCAATTGTGTGTACAGACTAGCAATGAGCCGGATTCAGAAGTGTAGTAGTATTTTTCAATATGTACATACTGTTCATTGCTTTGATATAGGGAATATGGAACTATTTCAAAAGAGCATCCCAGTCAAGATGAAGAGCACCATTAAACCTGCATAATCTCAGGCTACCTGCACTTGTTTTTTGTGAACTGTAGTAGTACTTTATTTGAAGGTCCGTATCGCTGACAACAAAGGAGAATTAAAACCCAATTGAACATTCAGTTTAAATGAGCTAAATACTTTCCAGGTGCATCAAAATAAAAGGTTTATATTATAAGTCAGTTTTTCTAAAGTAACCACATCCTGAGTATGTCCTCTGTGAGCATGCTGTAAAGTAGGACCCTTGCGCTCTGTGTGGAAGCAGTGGTCTAAATAGTTAAGTGCATCACCAGCACACCAAAGTAAAATCTTCAACGAGTGGTCATTTTATTGATGTACACGCATCTCCTCATAAAGCCACTCCGGGTCCCTTCATCGGGCATGACAATGTGTTATAATACATGACAAGTTTAAATCTAAGTGCAAACCAATCAAAATCGTTCTTCCCCACCCTCTTGATGCCATACTGATGTCACATTCCTGCCTTGTCAAATTCAAATACAGAATGAACATACAGAATAAACCACTTTCAAAGAGCCAGCAAACAAACCACAGGATGTGTATATGAATGGATACTCTTTGGTCAGCTTACCATCACTTGAGACTGATGAATGTTATGTGTGGGAGTGGGTGTCAGCTCGTATCCGTAAGCCGCTCGAGCATCCACTATTACTGCAGCACCCACATTAAAATGGGACATACAGTAAGGAGTGTGGTGGAAACCTCTTTGGAACTTCCCTACAGAGGCCTGACACTCCTCCTGCTGAAACAGTCTTATAGCTCTGCAATCAGCAAAGCTTATACTTCTTCTTGATAAGAGAGCTTTAGCTCTTACTCAGCAGGGGACATGTTGGACCTCTGCGGAGAGACTAATGCTTCCACACATTAGCAAGGGTCCTTCTCTGAAGCATGCTGTCAGAGGACAGACCTTTCTTCTCTGGATGTGGCTTTTTTTTTTCTAAGGAACAAAAACTGTAAAGGTGCCCATACACTGCACGATTCTCGTATGATCGTGCGATAATCGTGCAGTTTATAGAAGGTGTGCTAACGTTTCTACTGTACAGTCGCACATCTTCCGTCGAACCAGCATGCTAGAAAACCCGCCGGGAATCGTTCGATTCTCGGCGAGTTAGTGGCCTGCTGGTTCGACAACAGCCGACCGGGCCGGTGTGCGCACGCGCACACTGCCCGTTTGCAGTCATCGTAAGCCCGCCCCTCATTACAGTCATCGTAAGTCCGCCCCTCAGGGGGGCGGGTTTGCGATGATCGCAGGTACGATCTGCCTGTCCAAGATGGGCAGATCATACGGTTTTTAAAGTACTTTACAACCCTCGCAAGACAAAAGTCTTGCGAGGGTTGTAAAGTGTATGGGCACCTTTAGACTTTGCACACCTTATGATGCACCTGGAATGTATTTAGGGGCATTAAAGTGAAAGTGTAGTTGGGCTTTAATAATTAGGAAAAGCAGAGGAAACTGCTGTAGACGGGTATAGTGAATAATTAAGCTGTATTAGGTGTAATAGATAGAATAGTGGCGCACAGGAGAATGTATTGTGTTCTCTGCAAGTTTGATCGCAGTGACTGAAAAGTATTTTGGACATTGGGTCGGACAGAGTTGCTTTAAGCTGACCAGACACTACTTTACTAATGTCAATAACTGTCTCCCAGTTATTGCTTATGAAGAAATAATGGAGAGTGGTGCTTGATCTTTGTTAATCTTTGCGTAATTTAACAGATGTGTGAATGAAAATTTGCAACAAACTTAATCACTAGCAGCAGCAAACAAGTTTCCCAGTGTAACCGCTCGTTCGCCATATGTGGAATGATTGTTTCAACAATCCAGCACCTTTGCTATGCTAAATTTACCATATGCTCGCACCAACAGAATTAATGAGCAAACAGCAGATCAATGGAAATCCAATATATAAATTCTAATGGGTCTGTTGTAAATGTGTCATGTCTGTATCTCTTTAGTAAACATTATACACGGGAATCGTTCGATTCTCGGCGAGTTAGTGGCCTGCTGGTTCGACAACAGCCGACCGGGCCGGTGTGCGCACGCGCACACTGCCCGTTTGCAGTCATCGTAAGCCCGCCCCTCATTACAGTCATCGTAAGTCCGCCCCTCAGGGGGGCGGGTTTGCGATGATCGCAGGTACGATCTGCCTGTCCAAGATGGGCAGATCATACGGTTTTTAAAGTACTTTACAACCCTCGCAAGACAAAAGTCTTGCGAGGGTTGTAAAGTGTATGGGCACCTTTAGACTTTGCACACCTTATGATGCACCTGGAATGTATTTAGGGGCATTAAAGTGAAAGTGTAGTTGGGCTTTAATAATTAGGAAAAGCAGAGGAAACTGCTGTAGACGGGTATAGTGAATAATTAAGCTGTATTAGGTGTAATAGATAGAATAGTGGCGCACAGGAGAATGTATTGTGTTCTCTGCAAGTTTGATCGCAGTGACTGAAAAGTATTTTGGACATTGGGTCGGACAGAGTTGCTTTAAGCTGACCAGACACTACTTTACTAATGTCAATAACTGTCTCCCAGTTATTGCTTATGAAGAAATAATGGAGAGTGGTGCTTGATCTTTGTTAATCTTTGCGTAATTTAACAGATGTGTGAATGAAAATTTGCAACAAACTTAATCACTAGCAGCAGCAAACAAGTTTCCCAGTGTAACCGCTCGTTCGCCATATGTGGAATGATTGTTTCAACAATCCAGCACCTTTGCTATGCTAAATTTACCATATGCTCGCACCAACAGAATTAATGAGCAAACAGCAGATCAATGGAAATCCAATATATAAATTCTAATGGGTCTGTTGTAAATGTGTCATGTCTGTATCTCTTTAGTAAACATTATACACAGTAAATGCTTAATTAATTTATATCAAAGGCGTCTTGACCTTTTTAGCCTTCAAGTCTACCGGTCTATGCACATGATAACAACTACATGTGAATACAAAATGGATAGAAAACTAAGATGTAGGGAAATTGCAAGCATTATATTGGTGTATTACTAAACATATATGGTAGTAAGCAAGGCAAACAAATATAAACCCGTGCTTTGTGTTAGAATAAGTGGTTCACTTGGGTAAAGCTTAGATTTAGGGGTTTCGTTTAAGACTACCTGGCGTTTGGTTTCGGTACAGTCTACTTGTATCTGCTCTGTCTTGTAAACCACAGCACAGCCAGTAAACTTTAATAAGATGGTTAATTATGCAGATGTGCACCAGCTGCAGACTTAATACATTTAAGATGCAAATTGTTTTTCTTCTATAATGTGCACTGTGAGGCACCATTCAAGTCTTTTTGCTTCTTTTAAATATGTTAGTACTCTTTAGAGCAGGCATAGAGTTTGCTGTGTTCCACCTGCCAGGGAGCCAGAAGCTTCATCATGGCCTACCAACATCCAACCGAGGGTTCAAAGATTATTAATGTCTTGTACTAGCATGTAGCTATGAATAGTTGGTGTTAACATTTTCTGTATTCCCTTTTTTTTTTTTTTCTTGCTCTGCAAAAGACTGAAGGATCATTATGCATCTTATGAGCCACTGCTGAGGCAGCTGCATGAGAAGTACCAAACAGTTCTGCGGCAGAAGATGCTGACCAGCCTGGAGAGAGACAGAGCTGTTGGAGAGGTAATGCAAATCAGTAAATGCGTACTGCTTAATGTCCATTAAAGAAGAACCCCAATCTAATGAAGAAGTGGGCTGTTGTTTTAGAATAAGCTGCTGTTGATATCTGTACACACAACCAACTAAAAAAGCAGGGGGTTCTTAAACAGTGTAATCCAAGAAACAAAATACGAAAATTGTTACCATACTGGGACCCAAGTAGAGAATTTTTACCAAATACAAGGACAAATAATAATGGGTTGAACATTATTATTATTTCTATTATTATTTAGAATGTATATAGCGCCAACAGTTTGCATAGCGCTTTACAATGTAAGGAGGACATTACAGGCACCTTTTCAGACTGGGCTCGGCACCTTTTCAGTCTGGGCTAGTGTCATGAGCGGTGTGCCTCAGGGTTCTGTGCTAGGACCCATGCTGTTCACCCTGTTTATTAACGAAATCGGGGAGGTTGTGAATAGCAATGTTTCAGTGTTTGCTGATAATACCAAAATTGGGAGGGTAATAGAAACAGACCTAGACAGTATAACATTACAGGAGGACCTGGATAAAATAGGGGAGTGGGCAAATATATGGCAGATGAGGTTTAATGTCGATAAATGCAAAGTAATGAACTTTGGAAATAAAAATAAACAAATGGGCTATACAATTATGGGTATGCCACTAGGGAAGTCAGACATGGAAAAAGATTTGGGGGTCATTGTAGACCACAGATTGAAGGATAGCTCGCAGTGCCAGGCTGCAGTAAGCAAAGCAGAGTCCTGTCCTGTATTAAGAAGGGGATTTATTGCAGAGACATGTCTATAATTGTGCCACTTTATAGATAGCTGGTTCGGCCTCATCTGGAGTATACGGTCCAGCTTTGGTCACCAGTCCACAGAAACGATGCTCTTGAGCTGGAAAGAGTCCAGCGGAGGGCAACCAAACTAATTAGGGGTATGGAGGACCAGAGCTATGAGACACGGCTACTAAATTTAAACAAGGGGGGACATGATTTTAATGTACAAGATGATCAATGGTGATAGCAACCTTAGCAACAAACTCTTTACGATTAACTCCATAACAAAGACTAGAGGCCACCACCTAAAATTGTTGGTAAAGAAATTCCAGCACAAGGGGCGAAGGGGGTTCTTCACAGTTAGAGCGGTTAGGGTCTGGAACTCGCTGCCACGGGCAGTGATTTCAGCTAAGAATGTGGAATCTTTCAAGAAGCTTTTGGACGTTTTCCTGAGAGACCGTAATATACAGGGGTACAGGTACTCTTAAGAATGAGATGATACATGGACCTATACATACGCACACATCACCAATAGGTTGGACTTGATGGACTTAGGTCTTTATTCAACCTCAAATACTATGTAACTATGTAACAGTTACAATGCAAATGAAGACAAGATGGTAAGGAGGGCCCTGCCCATGAGAGATTACTATCTAAAAATGAAATAAAATAAACACACAGTAAACATGTGATTTGATGCAAGTATAGTTATTTTTTTCTCATTTGTAATGCAGGAATGTGAAACGCTAACATTGTTAATAAAACAGTAGTTCGAGTCCACAGCATGAAATAGATTCCTGAGCATCATTTTAATACGATTTTGACAGACCTGGAGCACTGCTAAGCAAAAGTTGGATGTGGCCACACTGTGCTGACTGTAGGAGTAACTTAAAAGGGCATAGAATCTGAGGAAACTTGCTCTATACACAGCTCATATGCAAATACAATCTTAACCCGTGCAGTGGGGCTACCCCTGCACTTCAAGGGTTAAGTTCTCATTTTGTCTAGAGAGCTAAAATAAATATATAAATATTAGGGATGCACCGATACCGATACCAGTATCGGTATCAGTGCCGATACCAACTATTTGGGTGAGTACTCGTACTCGCCCAAATGCTCCGATACCTAGCACGAGTACTTCCTGTATCAGGAAGCCGGGCAGCGCATCATTACACACTGCCCGGTTTCCTGATTGGCCAGGAAACGGCTCCATGCTCTCTCATCACTTGTGATGAGAGAGCATGGAGCCAACTTCCCGGCCAATCAGGAAGCCGGGTAGCGTGCAATGATGCGCTGCCCGGCTTCCAGATTGGTCAGGAAGCTAGCAAATCCGGAAGCCGGGCGCCGTTTAATGACGCAGCGCCCGGCATTCTGATTGGCCGGGAAGCCGGCGTCATGCTCCCTCGTCATCTTATGAATCATAATATTAAGAAAGGGACCTTAAAGCATTAGTTTGTATTGCTTTAGAAAAAATGTGACCTGTCCCTTTAAGAAAAAGTATCGGTAATTGGTATCTGGGAGTACTTGATCAAAAGTATCTGTACTCGTACTCGGTCTTAAAGTGGTATCGGTGCATCCCTAATAAATATATATTCAACCAAAGCACATTTCCAGTTTGCTCTTAGACTGGTCCCTTTTAGCTTTGCTCCCCTTTCGCTCCAGCGGTCTAAGGTCCAGTGAGTGTATAGAACGTGAGGACACTGAGGGATATAACATTGCTGTAGGAGAGGAGGAGACAGGCTGAAGGGAGTGGTGTAGGAGGCAGCCGGGATCATGGTTGGGGTGAGTATAACTTTGTTATTTTAGCTCCCTAGACAAAATGAGCACTTAACCCTTGCAGTGCAAGGGCAGCCCCACTGCAAAGGTTAAGATTTGATTTGCCCGGAGTTCTGCTTTAAAGAAGAGCTTAATTAAAATAGTCACGGACTACTTGGCAACCAGGAACTGCCGAGACGTTAACACTTTTGTCAGAATTATTTATGCCCCTGTGAGAATTATTATTTATGCCCCTGTTTATTATTTATTTATGCCCCTGTGAAAATCCTTACCGCCAACAAAAATTCCACTTCATATCAAGCACAATTTCCCCCACACCAAAAGTCCCCACTAAAGTCTCTACTCACCTCTGCACTCCTCTTCCACTATTTATCTTGGCACCCCCTGCACACTTTGTCCACCATTTCTCACTGCGCCCCCTACATACCAACTCCCCTGCTCACCTCTGCACCCTATACACACTTCATCCACTGCTTATCACTGCACCGTCTGCATATCTTGTCAACACTCACCTCTGCACCATCATCACTTCTTCACCACTGATCACCACACACACCTCTGTTCACGTCAGCTTTTTTGTTGTCCACTGAGTTGATGTGTTTAGTGACAACTAGTACATTATGTGTTGATGTTGATCCAGGTGTTATCCACATACCTGAATACATTTCCTGAAACGTGTACGGCGCTCTTCTTTGCACTTCCCCCGTGTGATGATTGACTTTTCAGATTAACAGGCAGTGGAGAGAAGCAAAATAGATGTAATAACAGCATCACTCCTTATGTGGCATGGCGTGCCACATATGAAACACAATGAAAGATTTTCAATAAATCCAGAAAAACATTTCTGCTCCAAAAGAGCCAACATCCATACATAAGCAAAACAACTTGGTATATTCAGTCCGGTGCAGTGAAAGTGCATACAGACGTACACTGTAAATTGGGGTGACAAGACCACATATCTACAATTTCCATGACCATACAAACAGATGGATCAAAGAGCTGAAAAGGAAGCCATCATTGTAATACGGCCACAATCTAGATAAAGGCGTGGACCGGCAACACCAGCTATCAGAAACTTACAAGGTTATGCTAACATTCTTTTGATGTTATATATAATATTTTCTCTATTAAAGTAATATTACTGTATCAGACCTTTTTCAGTAATGAATACAGATCAAACAAATATTCATTGCCCAGCAAAGTTTACTTTCTTAAACATTTCTTTTAAATTTTCTTTAATTTTTTTTTCTAAGAAACACTTAGTCATCATGTTCTGAGCCACTGGCTCGTACTCTCTTAGCCCAGCTTCCCTGAACTTGCTGTTCAGTATAAGATCACATGGGAAAAAGCTGTCTCCAGCTACTGCCGATCTACTAACTTGGAAAAAGGAAGAGGGAGGAGCAGACAGCAGTGTAGTGGCTTGCCTTGTGTGCTTGTGGAGACACGCACAGCTTACTAGAGCACAAAAAGGGGGCTCCGGAGGGCCCTGCAAGGGAAAGGAGCCACCCTAAGAAAGGATATCCGGGCCAGTGCTCAGCGGACCAGCTGATTCTGCAGGAAACTAACACTTTAAACACCAAGAAGCAGCATCCATTGTAAGTGATGTCATCAACATTTGAAATAGCTTAAAGGAGAACTATGAGGTGAGTGCTTTTCACTCACCTCATGGTTCTATCCGACCTGTGACAATGAGACTGTCACAGGTCGGCTCAGTAGATCGGGAAGTAAGCGAACACATACCGGCGTTTGCTCACTTCTCGATCCTGTCACAGCTCTCTGCCATGACAGGGGAGTGGCTGGATTCCCCCCTCCCGGCTCCGATCCTCCAGCGGACGGAGGAGGGGGCGGGTACAGCTGGCTCTGCCTCTAGATATAATAATTGTCGGGATCCGCTTCAGCTGCAGCGTCTCAGTATACCACGAGCTGTAGCTCGCGGTATACTGCGGCGTCTCAGCTTGCGGTATACTGAGCTTAGGGTGACTGGAGGACGCTAGTTTGTGTCCTCCCGTTACCCTAAGGAGAACTATGGGGAAAGCCCTAACCCCATAGTTCTCCTTTTTAACAATCTTTTGAGTTTAATACCACTTTAAGTGCTGCCGATGCCAGGTTCATTGTTGTATAGAAGGTTGCTTTACATGTACATGTGTTAAACAATACTAAAGTATTGTTTAACACATGTCTTAAAGGAGAATTATGAGGCAAGCGATGTTCAAGACCTGAAACTGTCACAGGTCGGCTCAGTAGATCGGGAAATGAGCGAACACATACCCCACCTCCCCTGTCCGATCCTCCAGCGCTGACTGGCGGAACGGACCGGGCAGGGACGGGACGGTTCCGGCTGCGGCGTCTCAGTATACCGCGAGCTGTAGACCCTGTAGAATAAAATTGTGGCAATTGCAAATTTTTATGTTGCACGATATTAGCGCAACGTATTATCAAACCCCAAAATTTAGTGAAAATGCCCCAAAACACAATTGAATACCGATTTTAAAAAAAAGGAGCCCAGCACTGACAGCTATGGGACCGGAAGTGATGCAATCTGCATCGATCCCGGTCCCGTAATACGGGGAGGATATGGTGAACGGAGGTTCGCTGATCTCCTCCCCAGCTCCCCCCCCCCGACACCAGAGAAGCTAAGAGGGGCAGTGGAGCCTGGGAAACATGGTGGGGGAGGCAGGCAGGGGGGTGGCCCGTTTACCGGCCTGGAGAAGCGATCTGGCGACAGCTAAGTCACCAGATCGCTTCTATTGTAAAGCCGACAGTTGGCTTTACAATTGTAAACAGAGTCCCGTCGTCTTTAGCCGCTGGGGGTCTGTTTAAACGGGCCCTGTGCCAGTGACATACTATGGACGTCACTATGGGTTTAAATCCTCATCCTTGCTTGCCATAACTTTCACTGTTTATATATTTCTAATAAACCCAAACTGATTCAGTAGCTACTTAACCTTTTTATCTCGCTCTTATTTCCCACATCACCAAGAATTGTCTGTGTTCAAAAAACATTTGTTGTCATGCATGTTGCTCGTAAAATCCTGGGTCATGCTTTTTATAATATCACGCCTTGACTGTTGTTACACCCTCAATACACCGTCTATTATGTAGAAAAAGCCTACTGTAGTCTTTATACTTTAGCTGATACACCTTCGTGAAATTCTGCTTCTCTCTATCAATCTCTGTGCTAGCTCCACCAAGTCCAAAGGATAGAGTTCAAAGCCCTAGTTTTACCTTTTAAAGCCTTCAACAGTCCGCATCTTCCTTCATCTCCTCTTTTAGTATTCAGGTAAATTCTCAGCCAGAACCTTCAGTTCACTCAGAAACCTTTTTTTTTTTCTCCCTTGTTATCAATTCTTATTCATGTGTCCACGATTGCTCTTACAGTGCTCCCAGGCCTCTCATTAGTTTTATTTGTTTCTGTTAGTATTTTATCCATTATTATAATAATGTCTGTACAAAAATGCTTCAGTTACTCCAATACACTGTGCTCCTAAGCACAACATATTTGATGGACATATATTTTTCCCTGCTGAGATCGTAGAGCTTTATAAATGTAGTTTATTAAATGTAATCCCAAAATACTTATGCATTTTAAATACTTATTCCATCAACCCATAATAGAGGTGCAGTTATAAGTTCTTCTAGCCTTATCAAACATGAATTAAAGTAGGGCCTGCTTATAAAAACAGGAGGGGAACAAAGGTGAAGTTTTGTCCATAGTGGACAATTAGAGTCAGTCTTTTACGCAAAATAAGATAAAACTCAGTCACACTGGATGACCACAGGTTAGGTTACCATGGCCGACTTTTTCTGGCCTTTTGGTTTTGCCAGTTTTTATGTTGTATTGCCATCTACTATGGCCGTATGCAGGGAACAATTTAGGACATTATGATTAGTTTGATGCAGCTGTGTTACACAATATTTGATGTACAAATGATGTGCAACAGATGGCTCCACAGAGACCATTATCACTTGGAAGATGTTGGATTGATAATATAGCACTGTACTGACTGTGGGCCATTGCCCACAGTCAGTACAGTGCTATATTATCAATCCATCATACATGTTGGGTAAAAACTGATCTGTTAACTGCTAAAGATCTAAGGGCCCATTCACACTACATCAGATTTATTTCTTGACCCAAAATGCATCCTAATGTATCCCTATGCTAGTTCTGGCCTCTATTCACACCAGCGCAGTCCATTCCAGACCAGACCAGACCAGAAAAATACTGCACGTCTCATTTTGTCTGGTCTGGAATGCAATGGAACTGCGGGCAGGTTCACACCATTTTCCGGACCAGATCTGGACCGGAAAATCGTGTGAACCTGCCCTAAAAGACATACTTTAACTCCAAAGCTCTAATGGAGGTTTACTATAGCCTTCCTCCAAATTGGCTCTGTTTAGAAAGTCAAAACTAAAATCTTTTTGCTGCCATTTTAATATAGCCTTATTCTAGAGATCAATGGAACAGCGACTTTTGGGCCTTTTCAGCAAGTTATTGTGCAGTATGCTAGAAGTCATAACCTACAGCAATCTATCAGAAATGATTTCACTGTCTCCCTACTGTAGACTGACAATCTGATGGGTTGCTCTTGTTTACTTCACATTGCCATCACTTTTATTTTAAATAAGCCAATTACGGGCTCTCAAACATGATTTTTGGCTTTAATAGTAGTGCATCACCTTTCAAAAGCACATGTACATTTAGTTCATCATGTTCATTAGAACAAATCCTTAACGCATGCGCTGTTGGTGTTCCTGAGGGTTTCTTTCAAGCTTTAAAAGTGGCCTCCAGAGTGCTCTATAGATCATAGTTTGCATGGTTACCATGTAGTCCTGCCCCCTGCATTTTCTTATGGAAACCACAGGCCATGTTTGTGAACCAGTATGATGGAGCAGAGGTGGGCTGGGGCTACATTAGCTCCCTGCAAGTTCTGGTTGCACCTTGCATTACAGAGCCCCGTCCACTTTTAAGTGTTTAAAATGCTTTGGAAAGGAGCTGAATATATACATGCTGGCACCTGAAGGTACCTGCTATCCAAATCCGAAGTCGGCTTAAAGGCCCATTTTTTTCTTTCCTATCTATATTGTTGTACATAGAAACAGAAACATTAAGCCAATCGTATAGTTTCCATCGATGTATTTCTATGAATCACGGTATAGCAGAATAAAACAAGCGGATTTTTCCTGAAGATACTTACTGTACTAGAATCCTTTTTAGTGGTCCAATATACAAACCATGAGAAAACTGAAAGTAAAGTGCATGCAAACGAGTGAAAATGGATCCTGTCAGCATGCAAGAACCCATTTCTGTTGAACTTGGAAAGATTAAAAAAAAGAAATTCAATTAATGCAGCTCTGTAGTCATTAATACATTATTTCATTTATGTTTTAATTTTAAGCAGAACAAGTACTTAAATTTGACTTGATGTCAGAGTCTGATAGTCTCAAAAGCAGAAAGTCTGGAAAAGGGGGAGGCAAACTAGCTCAAGGAGCCAATTAGTTGTGTTGTAGTGCAGCTAGCTTGCTGATAGGAGGAGAGAGCAGAGTGACAGAGAGGTGTCCTGCTCTCCCTTTCAGTGTCCAGTCACAGGGCAGAGGTAGCAGTAGACCTGTAAGTGAAAGTGAAACGGCATCAGGGAAAATCCAGTTAGCAACCCCAGTGGCATCACAAGGGGGGAGCGGCCCGCATCCGGGTGACACCATTGGAGGGGTGACACCCCCTCTGAAAAGTTGGGCACTCGGTCATGGACCGAGAGCCCGACAGTTGCTCAAGAGGGAGAGGAGAGGACCCTGCAGGCATAGCTTATCCCGTCGGGTGAACATCCCCTCCTCTCTCTGCCGGAGTCCATCACCAAGATGGTCACCGGCAGGTAACCGCGGTACAGAGTGTGATGTGATGACGGCGGGTGTCACCCTATACCCACACCGGGTGTCCCCCCGCCTCAGGACGCCTCTGAACTACCTTGGTAGACAGAGCTGTGCTGCGGGACAGAGCCATATACATCTCAGGGCTTGATGCAGAATTCTTTTTGACAGATAAAACGGCTCCCACATTTTGTATTTCATCTGTGAACAGTATTGAGCAGTTTGCTTGGAGTTCAGCTTTAAGAAACCCAAGTACCAAACTGTGTTCTTCCTACTTATCTAAACTCTAGAATTCACAATCTCAGTGCAATAAATCAAGGTTTCTGTGTCCAATTTTACTGTGGGGTTTCCTATAAAAAAAATATTCGATTAAGAATGTCTTTTTGGAAAACGGGATTTTTTCTAGTACAATGCATTTAAATAGACAGCTCTGTCAGAAGCATGATAATGTGTTATTCCTGAAGGCAAGTTCCCATTCAGTTGTCTTGCTGTGAATTTGATTCCCAGAAGCTTCTCATCCTAGTAAATTAGGGGCATAGAGAGATGTTCAATTTGAGCCAAGATTAGAATATGGGCATAATCATGGCAGCAATATATCATAGGGAAGCGGTCCACTTATTCTTGTGCATTTTATTGCCAAGCGCCTGCAGTTTCATGCAGGGAGAAAGAAGAGTGAAGATAACAGACTGTTGCTTGAAATGGCATGATTTTTCAATTACAATTTTTTTTTTTGTTCAAAACCTCATATATATTTCATGATTTTGTTCTAGGTGACTGGTCTGCAAGCTACACTAAGAAATTTGGAATCTGGCCATAAAATTGAGCTTCCGGTGAAAAAAGGTAGTGCATGTGAACACATTTATCAAAACAATATATCTTTCAGTCTCTATTATTATT